TATGGCTGCATCAGATGATCAGCCAAATCAACACCCCCCATGTACTTATTATACGCCCTGATGCAAACCGGTTTGGACTCTACTCTGCCCTGGACAGAGATGTCTGACATGCGTTCGTCATGGATGGTTGTTAGCATGTTGACATCCTTCCTGTCCCTAAATTTTAGTGCAAGCACTTCAGCTTTGCGAAGTGCTTTACATTCGCTTTTTTTTTAAATTTTGCCTCTATGAGAGATCGTGGAAAGTCTTTGGAATTTTTTCTGGCAGTGCCGCACGCCAGTGTCTGTAAACCATAAAGTGTTTTAAACAGACGGACACTACTATAACAATTATCCACATAAAGGTGGTAACCTTTATTAAACAAGGGGTTTAGCAAGTCCCATACAAGTTTCCCACTTGTCCCCAGGGAGTCAGGACAGCCAGGAGGGTCCAGTTGACCATCTTTCCCCTCATATACACGAAAGGCAAACGTGTATCCACTTTCGCTCTCGCACAGTTTATACAGTTTTATGCCATGCCTAGAGCGCTTTGAGGGGATGTATTGTCTGAACCCTAATCTCCCTTTGTATTTCATTAGCGATTCGTCTATGGATACATTTTGTTGGGGGTATAAACATCCGAAAATTTGTCCTGAAAATGGTCTAGCAGTGGGCGTATTTTATGAAGCCTATCATATTGGGGGTGATCTCTAGGGTGACAGAGGGTATTGTCACTGAAATGTAAAAATCTCTGCAGTAACTCGTATCTGGCTCTAGGCATTGTTTGGGAGAATACTGGACTAGACATTATTGGGTTGGTGCTCCAGTATAAGTGAATCGATGGCTTCTTCATAATCCCCATGAGCATTGTAAGAACCCAGAATTTTTTAAGCTCTGGGACATCTGTGGGATGCCAGTCATGCTCCCTGACTGTATAGCTACCTGGATTGTTATCAATAAATTGGGTAGCATACAAGTTAGTCTGGGAAGCAATCTACTACCAGATGGTATCCCCTAAAAATAGTTCTACATACTGCATTGGGGAGAAGCCATCCACATTAACATTAATGCGTGCGTTGGCACTAAAAGAGGGGACGTTGGGCTCGGCTATCTGTGGGGGTACCCAGTCCTCCTCCACATTCGGCGTAGCAGAGGAAGCACAGCTTCTTTCTTCAGCCCTACTCACACACAGATGACTTGCCGTCTTGACTAGACGTGTCAGAAAACTGACCTGGGTCAAAATCTGACGCAGTGTCAGTGGCGTCAGAGTTTGACGCCAAGAAGGCATATGCCTCCTGCAAGTTATACATACGCTGCATGTTTTACACACGACTTAAACAAATTACAAACACACAATTTTTTTTATACTTTATTCTTTTTTAGTAAAAAAACAAACAAAAAAAAACAAAAAAAAAAAAACACAGCAATCCCTAAACTAACTCCTGTCACAGAAATCTAATGGAGATTTGGGGGAAGGAAACTGACTGACCAAGACAGACCAAGACACTGATTTTTAAAACAAATTTAACCCTTGAAGGGCAATAAAAAATACAGACAGTACAAATACCCTGCTGTAACTGATCTGGCAGGGAAGGGGTTAAAATGTGATTTTTGTTAATAAAATACTGATACTTTCTGGTGGTCACTAAACACTGCTGCAACAAACTATCACGATCTCTGTCTCTCTCGCCTCACAAAACGCTACAGAGGAGAGAGGGGCAAAGATCACTGTCAAAGTGAGTGTTTGTAACACCCACTTTGACAGCAGCCAATTGTGAGCGATCGCGGATCGCTCACACGCCGCAATTGGCTGTTACTATCTGCCTGGGATGTCTGGCAGATAGTTACAGTGTTATACCGGTGGGAGCGATCTTTGATCGCTTGCCGCAGCCCATTTTTCGCTATGACGGTTCAGGATCGTCAGCGGTCCAAATGCACGTTTTACCGCTGATGGTCCTGAACCGTCAGCGGTCCTGAAGGGGTTAAAGGATCACTATAGTGTCAGGAAAACAAAGTGGTTTTCCTGACACTATAGTGCCCTGAGGGTGCCCCCACCCTCAGGGTCCCCCTCCCGTGGCGCTGAAGGGGTTAAAACCCCTTCAGCCACTTACCTTTATCCAGCGCCGGGCTCCCTCGGCGCTGGTGACCTCTCCTCCCCGCCGACGTCAGCACCCCGTCCGTCTTGGATCAAACATGCTGATAGACAGCCTACCGGGCAGCCCCCCTACATATAGGACCGTGCAGAGAGCATTGCCAAAATGCTCCCTGCATGTCCTAGTACCCGACTCACAGCATGAGGACGTATAGTGATGGTTTTGCGCTGTGTTGACCGAGGGCAGAGTGGGACAGCCGGACACGACCCCGAAATCGGGAATGTCCAGCTGAATGTGCTTTGTGTGCATACCTCCCAACTTTTTAAATGGGCAAAGACTGACCCTTTAAAGGACCACTAAAGTCACCCAGGCCACTTCATTGAGATGAAGTGGCCTGGGTGCTGTGATCTTGCCATTTTAACCACTTTAGGTTAAACACTGCCGTGTTGCAGAAACAGCAATTTTTACCTAGAAAGGTGTAAACACACCTCCAGTGGCTGTTACACTGAAAGCTACTGGAGGCACTTCTGCTGCAACCACAGGTCAAACTTAGTCATGTGACATTGCAACCCCCATAGCAAAACATTGATTCAATGCATTCCTATGGGAAAGCTTGGATACATGTGCGGCGCATACGAATCAGGTCCCAAATACCTTTTTATAAATAATATGAGGAGCATTGTATTGGATAGTAGGCCATGTCTCCTTGATGACGTTGCAGGAAGCAGAGAGGAGAGCAGCTCTGAGTGAACCTCAGTGCTGGAAAAAGGTAAGTAAAAAGGTTTATTTTATTATTTATATTGCACACACAGAGGCGGTGGGGGCCTTTTATAAGGAGGGACAGGGACACTAAAGCATTAGGATATAGGTCTGTATTAATACTGCTTTAGTGTTCCTTTAAAGGAACGCTATAGTATCAGGAATACAAGAATGTATTCGTAGCGCTTTAGTGTTATGTCATCTATTTAGGTGCATTCTCCCCCACGTGGGTTTAAAAGGTAAGGCTTACTTCCCTTATATCACATGGTATGTTGGTGTCGTCGCAGCTGCCTTGCCTCCTTGCCTCCTTGGCTGAGATCTTTAATATTGATGATCTCAGCCAATGCAATGCTTCCCCATAGGGAGGGATTGGTAGGCGAATGCGCATGCCTGCCAAAATACCTCACTGAGCCAATCAAAACCTCAATATGAGAAGTATTTGATTGTATAACCGAGTTTAACTTTATTATTGATTTCTTCAAAACTGCAATGTTTTGCATTGCAGGGTTAAAATGACAGGTACACTGCTTTTAGACCACTTCATTGAGGTGGTCTGGGTGTCTTTAGTGTCATTTTAACTGTAGCGATGTGAGGAGGTGGATGAGACAAAGAGTGGTGCTATTCTGAGAAAATTCATTACTGAGAAGTAACTCAACTGAAATGTAATTTAGAACAAAAATCGTGTATATTATTAGCATAGACTGAGTTCTAAATACATTTATTGCAGTTTAAAGGATCACTAAAGTAACCTAGACCAATTAATCTAAATTAAGTGGTCTGGGTGTCGGGATCCTGTCATGTGATGTCAATCCTGCTATCATGTAAAACACTGCAGTTTTGTAAGCACTGCAAGGTTTACATAGTAGCAGGGTTAAATTCACCTCTAATGGCTGTCTTCCTGACACCCACTAGAGGGGGTTCCTCCTCTAGAACCAAGTGCAACTCTGTTTCATTGTGGTTGAAGCAGTGTGGCATTTGGCCACGCATGCATATGAGAAGCATTTTAAAAATATTTTTTTTATTATTTTTATAAACCTGTGTTTTGTTTGCAATTGTCTGATATCCATGAGAGTATTTTTATGTTTTTTTTCTGAACAAAAGAAAAAAATAAATAAAATTTTTACAGCCTTCTCTGCTCATATTAACCAAGGGTGTCAATGTTAGTGTAGGGCACTGTAAATTAAAAATAATCTAAAGGCAAACAATATGATTCTAAACCATTTCCCCTTAATGATTTTGTTTTTTGATGCCTCCAAAACCCATGAATCATATATGAAGGTTCTCCCCCCCACCCCCCATTAACTGTCAAAAGGCCACTATGAAGCTGTAATCGAGTCCAAATACTAGGAATGCACTAATGAGTTCTTGTAGCCAAGATAAACATCGGAATTTTTATTTGCATAAACAGAGTCACTGCACCATTTCTGTCCCAACAGTGGACCTTTATTGAGCAAAGTTGGCTTTTGCTAACCTGATGTATTATCATGTCATTTTCACATGACCGGTATTGCTATCATGTACCTTCCCACCAGAATGAAAATGCCTTATTCTTCATTTCTTCACATAAAAAATGTAATATGACCTAAGCATCACATTTATAGTTTTTACAAATACATTAAATATCCCTTGTTGTGATTATTTGATCAGACGCCGAGTTCCAAGGCTATTGTGTTTTGATGTGCGTTTGATTTGTACCATTATTTTCTCCCTTAGTGGCCATACTGTGAGAAACGCTGTACTTACTGCAACTTCAACAAGTACATTCAACGTTCTGATAATGAGGATGCCATTCGAGCATGTCTTTTAAAAGAAGCTTCTACATTGATACAACTCAGCCAGGTCAGAAGGTAAGCATCCTCTCCAAATGGCTATTGTTGGGTATCCTCTTCACTACCAAAAATATGTATTGATAAACTTTACTTCTATTTTATTTGCAAAACAAAGTTTAATGCCTAAAGCCCCACTTACCAATATTTATGTTCATAAAATGACTACCAGCATTTAGAGGAACGACATTCCCTGCCAGAAACCAATTCAACCCATTTAATTGACACTATAGTCACCCAAACAACTTTTAACTTAATGAAGCAGTTTTGGTGTATAGACTGTGCCCCTGCAGTCTCACTGCTCAATTCTTTGCCATTTAGGAGTTAAATCACTTTGTTTATACAGCCCTAGACACATCTCCCTGCATGTAACTTGCACAGCCTTCCTAAACACTTCCTGTAAAGAGTCATCTAATGTTTACACTTCCTTTATTGCAGGTTATGTTTAATTTTGTATTTCTTACCTCCTGCTCTGTTAAAGGACCACTATAGTGCCAGCAAAACATACTCGTTTTCCTGGCACTATAGTGTCCTGAGGGTGCCCCCACCCTCAGTGTCCCCCTCCCGCCGGGCTCTAGGGGGTGGAAGGGGTTAAACTTACTTCTTTCTCCAGCGCTGGGTGGGGAGCTCTCCTCCTCCTCTCCTCCCTCTTTCTCAATGCTTTCCTATGGACGTCCAGCGTCTTCTCACTGTGATTTTCACTCTGACCCCCTCGCCCCACCCCCTCCATGAAGTTATAAAGGAAGTGTCAAAGATAATGCCATTGCTGCAGGGATTGCTATAAAATGTTTAATTACTTTTATTTTACAAATATATGAACTGTACTTATTGATTATTGGCATTATGCTTACATGCAAACATTCTTTTTCATTTATCCCATTTCTCTCTCCAACTACAGTTCACATAATAAATATAACATTACATTAATATTTCAGAACTTGGGTGGAATTATTGCAAAAAAAAAAAAAAGAATTCAGAATACTGTATTGTGTACATTTGTCAGCATCCCCAGTACCAAGATTGTATATATTGCTTTAATTTCTTTTACATTTAGTATTTCCTCTGTGTATTTTGGAGGTGGTACACCCAACCTTGCCAGCCCTCATACCATTGGTGCCATTTTAGAAGTGATATCACAAAATGCTTTGCTGCAACAAGATGCTGAAGTTACTCTGGAGGTTAACCCTGCATCCATTCAAAATAGTAAACTGCACCTCTTCCGTGAAGTTGGGGTGAATCGAGTGTCTGTTGGGGTACAGGTAATATTGTGTATATTCTCTTTATTATTTATCATTTTTATTGAGGGTTCAACATCATAGTATTACACAGTAGGATCTAATACATTGGAGCCATAAGAAACGGGTACAGTAACAGATCTGAGTAGTAACTAATTTCCAGTTACATAATTATTCAAGCGATGCTTCAGGGTGTCACATATACAATAACTCCATAGGCTGTTATTCCGTAACTACTCTACTGGTCTCCTCAGAGTTGAAAGGCTTGCCAACGTGGCTATAACCCTTGGTTTCTTGAGAAAAGGGGGGGGAGGGGGGATGGAAGTAGGTGGGAGAGAGCGTGAACTAGGAAAAAAGGGGGGGTTTACGGGATGCTCCCCTATACAAATGTATTAGAGGGAGGTGTTCGTCACCACGTTGTCACAACCATCTACCATTTGGACCAAGTGCTATTATGTTTCAATAGGGTACCGCTAATCGTGTGCGACATTTCCTCATACTGTTGGGTGAGATTCACTTTGGCAATCACCGACTGTATGTCTGGTGCCAAGGTGGATTTCCATAGGGCAGCTATCCGTTGCTTTGCAGCAAGCGTGATGTGGGTGATCAGTGAGGCCTCGTGGGCTGTTATTTCGGGTGGCATCATATGGAGCAGGTAATGTTCAGGGGCAGGTGGTAGGTCTATCCCTACTCTGAGTTTTATCAGAGTCTTGGATTTGTTGCCAGTATTGGCTGAGTGCAGGGCAGTACCAGAATATATGGCTTAGGGTGCCTTCTTGTTGGTTGCAGCGCCAGCACGTTGCCCGGGAGCCCGGGTATATTTCGGCCAGCCGTTGAGGCGTATAGTACCATCGAAGCCATAACTTGTAGGCCGCTTCTACGTGGTCTAGGCAGTGTGTGGCTTTTTTTACTAATGACATGGCCCTCACCCATCTGTGCGGCTCAAAGGTACTGTTCAGCTCCCTTTCCCATTGTAACATGTAGGATTGTTTTGTTGGCCTGTCTAAGTCTAATAGGCGGTGGTAACATAGGGACAATGGCTTTTTGGTTTTTTTTTGGCCCAGGCACATCGTGTCAAAACAGTTGTGGGGTTGTGTGAGCATGGTTAGTTTTTTGACGTCTCCTATTATGTGTTTAATACGAATGTATGTGAAGATCTCCTTGTTAGGTATGAGGTATTTTTTCTGGAGGTCGGGGAATGGTAGTAGACCATCTATTCCCAGGAGATGTGATATTCTGGTCACTCCTTGTCCTATCCATCCCTGCAAGGGGAGGTCGTGAGTGTGGTGCTGGAGAGTAGTCAGCGGGGCAAGGGCTTCTATGTTCCCACCGGTCATTTTTGGAGCCCATCTGAGCCACACCTGGAGTGATCCCCTCGATGTCGAGAGTAGCTTGGGATAATGGGGTTGGGCCTTTGTCGTGGTCCACAGTAGGTCGCCGAGGGATAGAGGTGCGCTGAATGCACTCTCTAGGTGGAACCACATTGGGTAGTCTGAGGGAGCCAGAAGGCGTGCCATCTGGGCCAGGTGTGTCGCTAGATAGTATTTGGTTATGTGGGGCACACCCACCCCACCCCCTCCCATGACCATACTGATGTTCGCCAGAGATACCCTTGGTGGTTTCCGTTTCCATATGTGCGCATTAATGAGGCTTTGGAATGCCCGGAGGGTGTACTTGGGGAGGGTAATCGGTAGGGCTCTAAAAAGAAATAGTATTTGTGGGAGGATGACCATTTTGATGGCATTAATTCGTCCTAGCCAAGATGTGTTTTTGGTGCCCCAGCTATCCAGCCGTCGTTCTATGTCTCCCATCAATTTCCTATGGTTATGTCTTATGAGTTTGGTTTTTGAGGGTGTCAGCTGTGTGCCTAAATAAGAGAAGGTATCCTTCCTCCATTCGAAGGGGTGGAGTGCTTTAAGAGATTCAAGTTGGGATCTGGGCAGGTTCATGGGTAGCACCTGTGTTTTTGCTATGTTGTTTTTATAGTAAGATACACGGCCGTAGTCGTGCAAAAGGTGCAGTAGAGTGGGGAGTGAGTCTGAGGGCCTGGTGAGAAAAAGGAGGATGTCATCCGCAAACACTGCTAATTTATGTTGTCCCGTTGGTGAGGGGACCCCCGTGATGTTAGAGTTTGCCTTGATTTTGTGGAGTAGGGGTTCCATTGCGAGAATGAATATGAGGGGCGAGAGTGGGCAGCCCTGTCGTGTGCCGTTCGTCAGATCAAAGCATCTAGAGACGAAGCCAGAGCTCATGACAGTCGCCCGGGGGGAAGTGTACAGGGATAAGAGTCCAGTCAGGAATTGGGGCGGAAAGTTAAACTTGCGCAGGACCTCCGACATATAGCCCCAGTGGAGCCTGTCGAAGGCTTTCTCCGCATCTAGGGCAACTATAAGGCCTTGTAACCGGTCAGAGTCCATGAGTTCCATTATGTCCAGGGCCGTCTGGTGTTGTCCTCAACCTGGCGGCCCGGGACAAAGCCCGACTGCTCAGGTGAGACGAGTTGGCTTAGGAGGGGTCGGATACGGTTTGCTAGGACCTTGGCGAACAGTTTGGTGTCGGCATTGAGGAGCGAGATCGGGCGGTAGTTTGCACATAGGTCTGTGGGTTTGCCTGGTTTGGGAATTGTGACAATTGTGGCTTCCAACATCTCTGGGGGTATGTTACCCGTGACTAGAATGTGGTTAAATAATGCCGTGAGGTGGGGGAGTAGTTGGTCCTCAAACACCTTATAATAGTGTACGGAGTAGCCGTCCGGTCCTGGGGCTTTATGTCTCGGGGTGTCTCGTAGTGCCCTGGTGATCTCGGCTGGTAGGATCGGGGTGGTCAGCGTTGCGGCCTGCGCGGTGGAGAGCTGGGGGAGATGTATACCCTCCAGGAAGGTGGCGATGTTCTGAGGGGTGGGCTGGTGCTGGGTGGAATCCCCGGAGAGATTGTATAATTTTGCGTAAAAAGTAGCAAATTCGTCTACAATCGCTTTGGGGTTCATGATTTTGGTTCCATGTTCATCCTTGATATAGGGGATTTTTACCTGGGAGATTCTCGCCTTAAGCTGAGAGGCCAGCAGTTTACCAGCCCTGTTCCCCTGCCTATAGTAAGTTGTTTTCATCTTCCTAATGGCTCTCTCTACCCGTTGCATTTGTAGTGTTTCTAACGTGGATCTAATGTTTTGGACTTCGAGTCTATGGGGTTCAGTGGGTGAGGCTTTGTGTCGTGATTCGGCTAACTGTAATTCCTTCAGTAGGGAGTCACTTTTTTCAGATAGTTGGCGCTTCAGTTTTGCCCCCATCTGTATGAGTGCTCCACGGGTGACTGCCTTGTGGGCCAGCCATGTCGTGGTGACGCTCGTGTGGGTGTAGTGATTGACTTCGAAGTAATGTGTTAGTGATTTCTGGATCCCAGAGGCCCTCTCAGGGTTGTCTATGAGGGACTCGTTGAGCCTCCATTGCCCCCGTCCTCGGACTGGGTGTAGTGTGGTAAATGATGATGTGAGGAGGGCATGGTCTGACCAGGTTATCGGGGCAATAGCGACCTCCGCTAGGGTATCCAGGGTTTTAGTGTCGACCCAACACATGTCGATGCGGGAATATTGGTCATGGACCTTGGAGTAAAAGGTGTAGTCCCTAGAGGCTGGGTAGAGTGCCCGCCAGGTGTCATGCAGGTTATGGAGATGGAGGAGCGTCGTCAGTTTGTCCCCTAGGAGCTTATCTCTTGGGTGGGAGCCCGGTGTCCCTGATCTGTCTAGGTCAGGGTCTAACACACAGTTAAAGTCCCCGCATATCATCGTCTGTCCCTTCTTTAGTTTGTCAACCTTTCTCAGTGCCTTTCGTAGGAAGTCGTACTGGTTGACGTTTGGGGCGTAAAGGTTTGCTATAGTCACCTGTGCGTCATTGAGGAGGCCCACCAGGATCAGGAGCCTACCGTCAGGGCTCTTGTATTCCCTTTCACATTGGAAGCTCCAATCTGAGTGGAATAGTGTGCTGACCCCTCTTGTCTTGTTAGGCGCTAGGGCGTGGTACGCTAGTGGATATGAGGAGGCCGAAAACTTTGGGGGGTTCGTGGCTGAAAAGTGGGTTTCTTGTATGCATGCGACCGAGGCCTTCAGGGCTTTCAGTTGAGATAGGGCCAGTCTGCGTTTTTGTGGGGTATTTAGGCCATGGGCATTCAGGGACACCAAGAGAAACTTGCTAGGGGGGCTCATTGCATTGGGGGTTGGGCGCCTCGTGGGCACATCTGGGTGATTGAGGTTGTCTCGTGGGTTTAACGCAGTAAGGCTTAGGGATGTCCTGGGCAGATACTTCGTCTCTTAGCCCATGGCAGAAAGGGAGCATCTCAAAGGTAGGGCCGGGGCATGGGAAATAACAGAGCTGATAACGGTGGGAACAAAAATATACAACATAAACAAAGTATATACAGAGCAAATAGCTAAGAAGCATTATGGGGAGGACGCCTCCGCCGAGCGCGTACCCTCTATTGTTCTGAGAGGGGGCTGCAGCGGCGAGTGGTGTCCCAAGAGAACTTCGGGGGGGGGGAGGGAGGGGGTTCTTCAGCGTTCGGTGAGGCCTAAACGCCTGTCACAGTCCAATCACCCGGTATGGCTGAGTAGCTGGAGTGGGGCAAACATTCCCCGGGGCCCACAGGGGGGGGGGGCCAGCAAAGGTTGCAGGTAGCAAGGGCAGAGGTGTGGGCCTAGGCCAGTTCATGAGTCTCATCATAGCCTTCTAGGGCCTAGGAAGATGTGAGGCGGGGGTGGAAGAATCCTTCGCCCCCCTGGAGGTGTAAGTCCAGATAAGTCTCTCCCTTGGGTAGCATTCCCGGTTCCCGGGAGGGGGGGCGGCCAGCCCGGGGTATGGGGTGGCGGGAGGTGCTGGTGGTAAGGTGGCTGAGCGTGGTAGGGCCAGGGTGCAGCTGTACTCACGTGCAGATGTAAAACCTTGGTGTTGCCACAGTTCATAGCACGGGTGTAGGCCTGAAGGGTGCCCCAGGGTTTGGAGAATAAGCCGGCAGCGGCCCATGTTAGGAGGAGC